ATCTGTTAATTGGACATTGAAATTGTTTTAGTGAGCGAACGTGAATGCAGTACGCTTTCTGTGACGGAGAACCATTTAAAAACGCATAGATGGCTGTTAAAAACTAGTGATATTATCATGGTATTTTTGCGGTAGCTTTTTGACAGTTTTGCATACAATTCCGAGGCATTTTTAAATTTTACTGTTACGGTGAGCAATAAAAGTGGGTGTTTGGGTAAGAGATGGTAAAAATTGATTATGGCAGGGCATAAGTATCATTCAGATACATTCCCTAACGGTTTGCAGCTCTGTATATTAGTGCATGGTAACAATCGTTGGACCAGTTGGTCCAAATTAGGGCGGTGGTGGCCAAGTGGTTAGGTTACCAACCTATGACTTGGGAGTCCCGCGTTCAAACCATTCATCTATGAAATGGATATGTAGTAATTGTGTTTATTTGGCTGAGGAGTGCTCCTGCATGTTAAGGGGAGCAGCACTGCAGGAAGCAAACAAAACGAAGCGACCATTTACAATCAGGATCTTCGAAGAAGGCGGGGGGAGGACAACCAAAAGGAGCCGTTATCCGAAAGGGAAATAGGGCGAGGAAAGTAGCACAAAACCAAAAGACGAATCTAGCTAGGACAGCAGAAATAGCCGTTCTTATTGCCAAGATCGAGGCACTGGAGAAAGAATTAAAAACAATAAAGCAAACGCAGCAAGTGCAGTTGTGTAGAACGAAGAATATATTGCTGCATGATATCCTGGAGCCTACCATATGAGATAGTAAGTTTGGACATGAGTCTGATAGGAGGCATGCCCAAGATATGCTCAGGTTGGTCGGTCTTTCCCCAAAAATGCGTTACGGAAAATACCACCGCGCTGGTCTATGCAGCGCAGCAACCAAGACCCATATCAGTGGTCTTTAGAAGAACATATAGGAGAGATCTAGTACTATCAAATGCCGCCAGAATAGAGATCAATATCTGGGGAGCTATAAGGGTAACTCCAGACGACGGGACAATTATGAAACAAGATACAAAGGGACACATCAGCATGGATAAAGAGAAAGGCAAGAAATCACGGGTAGTAATAAAAAAAAGGGTGAGCACATTAATAGTGGAGCGAAACTCAAACCTCCCCGTATGAGAAACAATCAAGGCAGGATGTGACGCCCTCAGCTGTCTCATCTCTGAGGAAATCCACACCACGTACTGTGAGGCTGGGGGAAAAGCCGTTGGAAATCACCGACTAGTGGAAACCATACCAAAGGCCGACCAACACAAGGAGGCCACGGGAAACCGAAAACCGGTCAAGACCCTAGGAGTAGAAACTCCACGAATGAATTGCCGACGGAGACCTGGACAACCATTGTGGCGAGAACGCCAAATGGAGGACCAAGCCCGAAGAGGCCAATTTTTTTCACCGTAAGAATGGCTCGACAGAGAAAAGCCCGGGAATAGCTGTTGGGAAAACCATCATCTCACCAGAGGGCGTGGCTTTGACAGTGACGCAGTCTACAGGAGCAAATAAGCCAAAAAGCAATGTGGTTCCTTGGGCCCCGAGCCCTAGGATCCACCGGGATTACGACAGGCTAAGCACGATAAGCAGGCAGAGGCTGCCACCGTGTGGTGCACAAGCGCCTGCAGTGTCAAAGCTAAGTGTGGCGAACTGGGGGCTCGAATCCATGATTCAGTGATTATAGCAATCACGGAAACATGGATGCAAAAAGAGAACTTCACTAACTGCCATAATAATTATGCAGTCTACAGGCCGGATAGAGAGGATGGTAGAAAAGGGGGAGGAGTATTGATATCGTTCAGGAATAATATGAACCATTGGAATTCACAAGCCACCTTAGCCACACATAATATCCAGGAAATAGCATGCAACGTGCCCCTAGGTAGAAGACCACTTGGTACATCATGTGTGTACAGAGTACAGCAAGCAACGTCGATTGAGGACAGTGAACTGATTGAAGTCATGCAAGAGTTCTTTTCTCAGTCCTCAGGGGTCCTAATAACTGGAGACTTCAACCTATCTGAGATCGACTGGATGAAGCACACGCAACGAGTGGGTCTACATGTGAAGCTTTCCTAGAAGGAATACACTCCCACACGTTGATACAACAGGTGACGCAGACCACAAGATTCAGGGATCAACAGAGGCGGTCCATCTTGGACCTATTCATAACAAGGTACGCGTTAGATGTAACCGAAATGAAAGTAGGAGAACCACTGGGCAAAAGTGATCATCTAGTGTTGAGATTCCTGTTGACGGAAAAGCACAGAAGGCCAAAAGCCTCACTGTTACAATTCTATGATCGTATACATGAGGTGGCCTTGCGAGGAGCAGCGAAGTAGGTCAACTGGACCCCAGAAACCCCGGGGCCCACAGAGGAATAGAGATGGCATCAGATTCGTACTGTCTCAGGCGTGGAAACCACAGGCTAGAGTGGTGGCGGCTCAAGCTAGATAGAGCACTGAAAACACGCAGACGATGCTGATCAAATTATCGAATATATGGCACGCATCAGTTACGGTGTCAATACAAGAAAAGCCCGTAACAAGGCACAGGCTCTACAACGAGAGGGAAAATGTATATACGAAAGGAATGTGGCACAGCACATGAAGCAGAATCCTAAAAGGTTTCATGCCTATTTGCAAAGCAACAAAAATATAAAAGAAAGTATGGGCATATTGGAGATGAAAAGAGATAGCTTAGCTACAAAGCAACCATCCTTTTAGCCTTCTTCAAGAGTACATACCAACAACCAGTGCAAAGGTATGTTGTGATGTCCACTGCGCGGCATTTATATACACCATTAATTAGTGAAATAACCATCAAGGAGAGTGGTGTAGCCAAAATACTTGCCTCAATAAATCGACATAAGGCTGAAGGACCGAACGGAATACATCCTGCTTTGGTTCGACCACTAGCAGGGCTTCTGGCACATCGGGTAACTATACCTTTTGCGCAATTCCTAATGACGGAGGTATTACCAGAGGACCGGCGTGAAGTAACCGTTATTGCTCTATACATATCAGGACCCAAACATAAGGTAAACAAATAACGACCAATTAGCCTGCCATCCATCCGTCCTGTTTGGAAAGGACCATCAGGGGTCAAATATGTCAGCACCTAACCACCCATAACCTGTTGGCACCAGCACAGCATGAGTTTACCGGGAGAAAATCGTGCCTGACTAACCTTCGCACCTTTTTGAATGAGGTTACCAAAATGTTGGATGAAAATCAGCAGGCCGAAGTCTGCTACCTCGACTTATGCAAAGCCTTCAATTCAGTCAGCCATAAGCTCCTAGACCGCAAGCTATGAGATGCAGGATTACAGGGGGCAGTAGGTAATTGGGTCGTACGGTTCCTCAGGCATCGCACGTTCTGTGTGAAGGCTGGTGACTATCTCAGCGAATCTGCAAGAGTAACAAGCGGGATGCCTCAAGGACCACAGATACTTCTAATTTACTTCAACGACTTGACACGGGATCTCCAAAATCCATGTTTCGTATTCGCGGACCTGATGGAGACGGTTAAAAATGTCAGATGGCTATCAGGACTCTGCGCAGATGACTTTTTACGGCTTCTTGTGTTCAAAACACGAGGGTTGATAGCTTTAAGCTCCAACAGAACCATGCTAAGTTAGAAAACCGGGATAATTTCTTCGCACACAGGATTTCACGAGAGAAAGTCTTACGACATCAAATACCGGCGTAGTTAAACCCTTATGAGGTGATGGTGATGATAATAGCTGGGTAGTTTGCCATCCTATACCAGTTTCAAGTGCAACCTATAGGTTATCTACAACGGATAAGTACCACAGAGCTATAGATTTGTGAAAGATCTATCACAATTTTACCTAGAGGTAAAGCTCTTTATCAAACATATAAGCATGAAAGCAATCCAGTAAATAAACTAGATTGCTTCTAATAGGCTCAGATTATTCTAAATAAGGCAATTAAATTTAAACAACATTTGGAACTGCGTTCTTATAAGTACGATTATATATAAACACATTATGTCAATTAGTCGAAAAACTAGTGTTACGATGCTAAAAGTTGTCGAAAATGTTAAAATATATTTTATATACTGACGAGAGTATGCATCATATGATTTAAAGAAGAGGTAAACTGATCAGAAGGAGATCTCGAGATCTCCTTCGAAAACGTACCTTCTTTATGGCACAGAAAGCGCCATCTTTCTTTCTAACACCTCTGTACACTACACCAAACGTGCCTTCACCCAAAACAGGTCCGAAGTCATATTCTTCTTTGAGTTGTGACGGTGTTTCCATGCGAAAGAATACGACNAGCTCGGAAGGAAAGAGGGTAATTGTTCGATAGGTGCTCTGGAATCATCACTTGTACAACTTGGACCTCCAACAGCATTCATGAACCCGATGCATTAATTTTTACAGCGTTTCACAAAATAAAATCAAATACAATATTCCGCGNGCGTAGTTCTGCATTAACAACAGCATCAGGCTATTTGAAAAACACACAGAGTCTTTTGTCAGCTTAAACAAACTTTTTGTAATTAATGAAAATGATCTTTATTCTGTTTGAGCGTGGTAAAGCACCAAATAATATCCTGCAGCAAGAATAGTTGTTGAACAAACGTTAAGGGTGACAGATTGCGGAAACTCAACTTTTGTAACATTTTATCGTGGAGTGCGCAATGTCAACAATATTTATTTCTGCACATAATTGTTGACAAATAATGGATGAAACAATCGTCGATGGTTCCGATGAGAAACTCAAAGATTATTCTCCATTGCCAACAGATGCACACGAGGGTACAGAATTTCAAGACTCGACAACATTAGTTGGAGCTAATCCGCGAGATGCCGACAAGACCGCTGATACCGCCTTTGAGAAAAATAAAAAAGATGAAGCTGTAATTGAGAAAACTCCTAGTAAATACTCTTTTTCCTAAGTATATAACAGAATAGGTAATTGGTACACCGATCACGCACAGCTAGTTTACATCTCTGAATGCACTGAAAACAAAACAATCCCCTCAGGTTATTTTCTCAGAAACCTGCATAAAGATTTCTTATCAATGCGGCATTGCGTACTGGGGCCGCAAAGGCTTCGTCCGATTTGCATTAGCATGTGCAATAATATCACGATCACAAAATTGGATCTGACGGACACTTGGATTGATGATGAAGTAAGTTCGTGTACAAACTATGTTAAGTTCATTGTTTTACCCTGGCATAGTCACTCTGGTTCATTGATTTTTCGACCGTTCGGTTAAATTTATCTCCGATGTCACACGACGATTTAGGGCTTTTGCAAATCGGGCGTCCAGATTCATTTGTTCTCGGCGAGTTTAATTGGCTACCAATAAACGCATTCAGGTCGGGTCCCAAGACCTGCGGCTGAAGCCTAATGACATCCAGTTTCTTGCAGTGGTGACCTGCGATCGTCTTCTCACAGCGCTTTGACAGCGTATCGTATGTTTTTATCGTCGCTCTTCGTCTGCGAAAGGGTAAAGGCGTCAGCCCGTATACACTGTCTGAAGGACCAATCATTCAGAGTTGTGCAGTTTCACGCCGCTTATGCGACGTTCTCACACTCGATTACGCGGTCGATCCATCTAGCGGGGTCTTAGGCAATTCAAAAGAGTTGAGGGAGGGTGCTTCAGTATAAAATCAAAATTAGAGTACTTCTAAAATGTTGGGTTTAAGATAAAATAGAGTAAAGCAGGACGAAAGGAAACAAAAAGGTGGATAAGTAGTCTGAGGGCACTCCTAAAGATGGAGACCCTCGGGGAATACTTCCTCCCAACACTGGTCGGGTCAGAGCTTGAAGACAGCAACTGTTTATGCAGCTACCACATCCGTAGGTAGCTTGTTCAAGGCGTTAATCACCCTGCACGAGGAAACTTGTGCCCTGGGTTTGTCAAGCTCCCATACGTGCCCTCTCAGTGCTGGTTTTCCACTGAGGCTAAAGAGAGGTTCATCTGTTGTCGTGAATCCCTTTATCGATTTGAAGGTCTCCACCAGATCACCTCTCATCCTCCTTTTGAGGGAGAAGAGCTTCAGTCTATGAAGCTTCTCGTCGTAGCTCCGGTTTTTAAGACCTTCGACGAGTTTGTGAAGTAGCGCTGTATACCCTCTAGCAGTTATGTGTCCGAACCAGTGCTGATGTCCATGCCTAAGTGCAATACTCCAGGTGAGATCTCACAAATGCCTTGTATAGAGGCACTATTACTCTGGCCTCTCTTGAACCAATTGTACGCAGCAGTTGGTACAGTGCTCGGTTGGCCTTGGTGGCCGCAACCCGTCATTGATGGGATGGCCTGGAGTGATGGGTCAATAGGACTTCTAGGTTCTTCGCTTCTTCTACTTGCCAGACTATTCTGGGGTTCTCCGGATTCAAATGTCGGTTCATCGATATCTGTGTATTTAGGCGACTGCACTTACCTGTGTTTATTGGGCGCTCCAACTCGGTCGCCAAATTGCATATCCTATTTGGGTCGCTAAATTTTGTTACCTTCAGGCCTACTTACTAGTTTGAGATCATCTGCGAAGATGATCGTCGGTCTTCAGTATTGAGGGCAGAGAGCGGGATACACCTATAAGCCGCGTCACCACTGGGTCAAAGGTTCGATTATATGTGGTTGTTCCTCTATTGCCCCTTTAGGTGTTCTTTCATACGCCGCTTGAAAGCAGAGTCGCTCGTCTCCTCCAACAGAGTCGCTGGAAGAGAACTCCAGAGCGTTTTTGACCCCCGCAAGAAACGGTACACAAAAGAAAGACAAATCAACTGAAGTTTACGCAATATGAGAGTATACCCCCGCATGTGTCCCTCTGTTCATAGTAGAAAATGCTGCTGCAAATCCGAACCCATATCAGCCCTCAAAATCTTCCTCAGGCTGATCAGATCTCTTCTAATGCGCCGATTCTCAACTGGGAATAGATCAGTAGACTTGTAGACGACTTCGAAGCCTGTCCGATGTAGTCCGAGAAGGGGTCTTGTAGCAGCACATTGTACACTCTCCAACTTAGCCAGTTCACCGGCCGTGCAGGGCTATGTTGCGGCGCTAACATACTCTAGTCTCGGTCTGATATCGAAAGTGTACAGTAGTCTAAAAGCGTCGATCGCAAGCAGAATAAAAGATCTCCGAATATGTACCACAATGCTCCATGCATTGGCGCAGACCCTATCGGTGTTTTATCGGGTCTTCAATGAGGACGTCACTATAACTCTCTGGTCCCTCACGCACGATGTTCCCCGCAATGCAGTTCCTTAGAAACTGTAAACCACCTTCCAATCAGGACGCCCCAAGTGCAAGTAAGCACACTTGGCAGTATTGACCAAAACGGATCTTCTTGCACAATACTCCAATCCTCTTAACCCTGAATTATACGCCAGATTTTGACGTCATTCGCATCCATGAATGATGGACTGCACAGTTGACCGGACAAGTGATTGACATAAGCTATGAACAAGAGTGGACCAATAAGTGAGCTTTGGGGAATCCCAATGTAAATGGGATACCCCGTAGACAGCGCTCTGGCAACACGGACGCAGAATTTTCCATCTGTTAAGACGTTTTAGAGGCATCTCAGCATAGTCACACCTACTCTAAGGTTGGACAGCTTTCGCAGAAGGTTGTTGTGTGGCACTTTATCGAAGGCCCTACTGAAATGCACGAAGATGATGTT